AACATCCACAAATATATAATTCCAAATTCATCCATTAATATGAAGATGAGAGTATTGTAGATGAATTAATATTATTAATTTAAATTATTATAATATTACAAACCTAGCATGTCCACATTGAGCACACATCTTTCCTTTTTGCATATTTACATCTGTTCTCACCAATAGTAATAACTTTTTAGGATCGTCATCCTCTTCGTCAGAGTAGTCTTCACCCGATTCCTCTTCATCAAATTCATCATCATCATCACCTTCATCTTCCCAATCCTCATCATCATTTTCTTCCTTCTTTTCTATTGTTGTTGTTGATGATGCTTCTGGAGTTGTTGTTGTTGTGGTGGTAGTGGTTACAGGTTCTACATTAGATGGCGTTGAAGTGGAAACAATCTTCTCCTCATCCTTCCTCTTCAATAATAACCACTCACAAAACTTGACCGATAAAACACCCACAGCAAAAGAAGAAAGAATTAGTGGCAAGGAAGCTCTCGACAAGTTTTCCATTTTTTTTATGACCGTTACGAAAAATATTTTCAAATTTATTTTCAGAAATGAAATTTGATTTTAAATAATAATAATAAATAATGGAAAGTGATTAGATGGAATAACTTAGACCAGAGAAGGCAGGACTGGCTAAAACTTGAAGAATTCCTTCAGGGGAAATTTCACTATATAAAACTCTCAAGGTGTGAAGTTTAAAAATGGCTGGACTTGTCAAGTATGGAATGGCTTCATCATTGAAAGTATTCTCGAACATGATTATCTCAACAAGATTCTTTGCTCCTTTGTGGTTAGCCAGAACTTTGGCTGATTCATTTCCTAACTCATTGTAACTAACACACAAATCTAACAAGTTATTGAGATTTGAATTGAGGAGCATTTCAAATCCTTCATCTCCAATCTTATTCTGTTGAATTCCATGGTTTTTGCTGTCGCCTCCACCAGCACCATCCAAATTTAAACTATTCAAGTTGGACATGTGGGGACTTTCAACAAGATATTTGATTCCTTCCTTAGTTATTCCATTAATTTCAAGATCTAATATTCTCAAATTTGACAAGTGAGGATTTTTAACAAGTTGAATAAGTCCATTATCTCCAAGCAAGTTATATTTCAAATCCAAATGAGTTAAGCTTTTCAAATTGGAATGACATTCTTCTGGTGATGGTATTTCTTTGATAGCATTGTAGCCAAGCAGCAATTTTCTTAAATTGTGCATGACATTATTTGTGAAAAGGTTTCTGAAACCTTCATCTCCAAGTTCATTGTCGTAAAGATCAATGATGGTTACATTTCGTAAATATTCACATGAATTAATTAAGGATGGAACACGGCTTTTAAATGTTATAGATTCAAATTTGCTCAAAATATCAGACAAGCCATCCTCTATTTCAAATTTTGGGTTGATTTTGGAAACTTTGTTATCAACCAAGTTTGTCAATATCTTTCTGTAATTCTTTCGATGTCCAGAACTTATGGAAACATCAATGTTCAAATTAATTCCTCTCTTCTTGGCAGTTTGTGCAATAGTGAGAACAACACTCTCATTAAATACATTATCCATTAGTGATAGAGTTTCAATTCCTGACAAGTAATTACTATCCTGGAACTGGTCAAAAGTCTTGAGCCGACATCGATCCATAATCAAGGTTTTCAACTTTTCGCATGATCGCAGGTCTGAAAGAATGCTTGTTGCATTAACATTTGAAATATCAAGATAGGTCAATTGGGGTAACTTGTCCAAAACAATCTTTTTAAAACTTCCATCCACTGATACTCTTACTAGATGGAGTGTTTTCAATTTTTTCAATTTGTTACACAATACTTCTAAATGTTCGTCCAATATGGCCGTAAATGATAAATTTAAAGCCTCCAAGCTGAGCTCTGGAATTGAATCCCCTTGAAGGATATATTGATCACAATTAAGACCACAATGTGATACATTCAACTCTTTCAAATTACATGGTAAATTACGGATAAGATTAGTAAATTCAATCATTTCAATATGATTATATTCTAAATCCAAATATTTCAAATTTTCTAGGTTGGATTTGTTGTTTGCCAACTTTTGAATAGCTTTATCTGTAAGACAACATCTCGCTAATCCCAATCCAGTCAATTTGGACACCAATTCAACATTATTCAACAAGTAATCGAGCCCCTCTCCATGAATAGTACATCCATTCAATATCAATTCTCTCAAATTCATTAAATATTTACTTTCTGCAATTAATTTGGCTCCATAACTTCCGAAATTATTAAAAGACAAATTCAAACTCTCCAATCTCTCCAAATATTGGCAACTCAACAAATCTTCAACATTAAATCGGATCAAACAATTATTATCTGCCTTTTTCTCAGAATCATCCTTGAGAGAAATTCCATAATTCCTCATTCGGAGATTGGCAGAAAAATCCAATGTGAATGAAACTCTTCTGGCATTCTCTTGAAATTGTTTCGAAACTAGTAAACAATTTTTCAACAAATCCAACGATGGAACAAAGGTGAGAATGTGAAAGAGACAATCATCATGGATGTAAACCATTTTTTTTTTGATGAGGTTTTTTCTTTCAAATTGACATTTCAAGTTTGGTTATTTGTTTACAATAAATGTAATTTTCATTAGATCAACACGATTTAAAACTTGTGGGATGGTTTTGAAGTTGGATGGTTTACCTTTTGCTCAACACAATATCTTTTTTACAACGCATATATTATTGTTCTTAGACCTTTAGATAAAATTATTTATTTGGTTAATTAAGGACACATATATTTGTTACAACCACATTGTTGACATTGTGCACCACAATAGTAAGGACCAATACAGACACAAGCACCACTCACACATCTACCTTGACCCCAGGAACAAACACTTGGATCAGAAGCTGGAATACCATAACAACAATTACTACAAGTTTCACAGGCAGCTCCACTCCAACCAGAATTACAGGAACAGGTATTTGGCCCAGTGCAGGTTCCGTGTCCATTACAATTATTGGTGCATGAAGGTGTTTGACACAAGTTTCCAGTCCATCCACTACTGCAAGAACAGCTTTCTGGACCAACACAAGTACCACGTCCATTGCAGGTTGAGCAGACAGGTGTTTGACAGAGATTTCCAGACCATCCACTGTTACATGAACAACTTTCTGGACCAACACATGAACCTCTACCATTACATGTTGAACAAACAGGAGTTGTACAAGTAGCACCACTCCAACCTGAATTACAGGAACAAGAACCAGGTGAACTACAAACGCCATTACCACAACCACTTGAACAAACTGGAGTTGTGCAAGTTGTGCCAGACCATCCAGAATTACAAGTACATTTTCCAGGAGCACTGCAAAAACCATTACCACAGCCACCAGAGCAGACAGGTGTTGAACATGTTGTGCCAGACCATCCAGAATTACAGGAACAAGTACCTGGTGAGCTACAATAACCATTTCCACAACCACCTGAACACACAGGAGTAGTACAAGAGGCACCAGACCATCCAGAATTACATGAGCAGGATCCTGGTGAGCTACAATAACCATTACCACAACCACCAGAGCAAACAGGAGTTGTACAAGTAGCACCACTCCAACCTGAATTACAGGAACAAGAACCAGGTGAACTGGCATATCCATTTCCACAACCACTTGAACAAATTGGAACACTACAATCAGATCCACTCCATCCACTG